TACTGCTCTAATAATAAACCTAATCCTAAACTTGTCGATTTGTCATGATATAACTACCTAATCTATAAGATCTTACGTGGAAGTCACACCATCGACTACACCAACTCACTGTATCGTATCAATTACCAATACATGATGAGGAACAAGGTTAGGCTAGAGAAAGAACAAGATATTTAATATGAATAGAAGATATGAAGTAACACTGAGATGGACCACGTCTGCATGGACGAGCCATGCCACTCGATCAACTCCAGTCCATTCAATTCATTGTTCGCGCCTTCTCCATTGTTAGGTATTTCTCGGCGTTAAATATTGAATATTTATTTTCTGAGTAGTCTCGTGTTCACAGCTTTGTGGATTGTGTGGCTATTGTCCAATGCCACTACACTACTCTCCCACCAGAATCAACGTGATGTTGGTTCGATACCAAATTGGATGGGATCGTCGCGCACCGGAGGTTACCAAGGATAATAAGAATCCTCCGGTATTGGTAAGCTGAAAGATAAATCAAAAAGAAGCGGCAGCATCTGGTCGGGAAATACATGTAATAATTTAAAATATCTGCTTTCATGATTAACACGCTTAAAATGAAAATTTGGTTGAAGATTATTTGAGCTATAAAAAATGGGATACAATAATAATAATAATAATAATAATAATAAAACGATGCGTGTTAATAACTTACTTATAGGCAGTAATTATTTTGTGTTTAGAAATATTAAATAATGAATATTGTAGAAATGTTAATATTGGTATTAGTTTTGGTTTAAATTATGAAATCGGATAACGATTATGCCGGTAAGTTGTCCATAAGAGTTGATTTCCAATTGCATCTGTATCAGTAGGCTAACTGAAGGAACAAAAGTATACCGTGGAAAGAATTCCAACTAGTGTTCCAGTTAGTTTGATACGGTTTATTTAGTTACGGGGAGATTTTCTCAACCTCATTTTTACTTGACCGTGATAGAATTTGGTAATACTACTAATACACATGAATGGTTATCAAAATAAAATTTAAATACGTGAGTGATGATTATATGAATTTTGGACAGATAGCTAGGAACAAATCGTTAAACATGTATTCGTAAGAGACATGCTCTAGACTCAATGTTCTGCGTTGCCATAGACTATTTATATATTTATACTTGCCGGCTGATTGCATACAAGTTAGTTGCAAGTATGCAGTTTATCATAAGGCGGAATACGATTTAATTGAGATATAGTGGTTATAAGTTATTAAAATCAGTTAGCCTGTGTCATATTACGAAGTGATGTGGTGCTGCAAGATGTATTTAGCTAAATAAGTTTTTACAAGATGATTAATAGTGAGTGATGCTCATGTGATTATCAGGGAGAACATAAGTTGTAACCAGGGGAGTACACTCCCAACTCATGTCTATGATAATGGCTTGAACCTTAGTCAGTGTTGGGGTAAATTCGACATAGATGTTTTCAGTTTGCAGGAGATTTGCTCGACTGCTTATACTGATTATTTGCATGCATGATTGTGTCGCTAAACCATCAATTAGACTGACAAGGTTTTGAGATATTTACTGAATGAGCAGCTGATAGAGAAACCTACTGTAATCATCTGTAGTGAATGAAGATAAAAGAAAAACAACACTAGTGATAATTATAAGTCAATTTGCTGACCGATTTTGTTAATAGTTTCATTAATTTTATCAATCATTACGTGATTGTCAAGTTATGACAATGCTTTATGACGATATCCTGAAACTATTATATTTAACTAGTTATAGTGTTGATTGAGGATTAGTCAGTGGAAAAATAGGTATTGTTGCTTTAGGTGATTCGAAATTATCAGAAATTTGTAACGTTAAAGAATCCGAGACGCCTAATTATATTATAAATTTCAATTCAGAAATATTCGTTTAGTGTTAATTCTAGTAGGCTACGGAGTTTTGATTTTAAACGTTTGTTTAGCCAACAGCTACTGGGGATTTAGTTATTTGACTAGTGCAGTTGATAGTACCTAAATTTGTAATCTGATTATCTAAACTCTGTCCGCATCTTAGGCTGCTACTATGATAAACCAATCCATAAACCCAAATACAATTAGCAACAACGACTATGATGGGTTTATTGATAAATGTTAAAGGCGATCCAGATGATTTCTAAATTTAGAAGACATGGAGATATAGTGTAACGTATGTATGGGCCAGGTTAACATGCAGGTTGTTGACGTATATGACGATTTAAAAATAATGAACATGACCAGAAAATAGTTTTAAAGTTTAGACTGCTTGTGAAACTTCAGGCAGGAATATGATGCGTTATAAACATTCCATTAGAAGTTACTGCATTTAGCCTAGGGACACTTACAAATATATGGCAAAAGCAACTGGAAAACATACATGTTAAGTACAAATAATCATTAAGTAAAATAGTTGAACTCGCCTGGGTTATTTTTGAAAATTAGATTATTCAATGGACGACATATATAACGCCATTCGTGAGTAGTATTGATCCAAAAGCATCCAGAATAAAACATGCAGTATGGCAATTAATTCCAGGGTGCTTGATGCTGTTAAGGTTTTTGCCACACGCTCGGATCAGAACAATCGAAAGAATCCAGATAATTGTGTGGTTGTCATTGAACGAACCATCGTATGTTTTTGGAGTAGTCATCCTCGTTGTTTGGCAATGGAACTCGAGAATATGAAATTAGGCAGGCAGTGGTCGGAAGAAAAGATATTACAGGATAGTGCATCGTTTAAAACAGGATGGTGTTAAGTGAAGGAACACTGAGAATTAGATCCAGATAACTATTTAGTCCTTGATCGCATTGTTAGTCAATGTATATTTACGCTATTTACAGGTCATATTTGCTAAAGCTTGATGTTTAAACAAGACTATGTCGCTGAAGCATGTAAATGCTATTACAGCTTGTTAACAAACCATCAAAGCTAATTAGTTAATATAGACGACCAGTTTTTATTATCGATTGAGCTAGTTTGTCATGAGGACTAATCAATATAACATTACGATAATGCATGTGAGCATTATTCAGAGGACTATTAGAATACAGGGTTAACATAAATATAAAATCGATCGAGAAAGTTGAAGTGGAAATAAGGATTAATAATAATAGGTTGCGTTTCTTTAGTTGGGCTCACCAATGTAGAACTATGGTCTACTATGATATTAGTACTGCTCTAATAATAAACCTAATCCTAAACTTGTCGATTTGTCATGATATAACTACCTAATCTATAAGATCTTACGTGGAAGTCACACCATCGACTACACCAACTCACTGTATCGTATCAATTACCAATACATGATGAGGAACAAGGTTAGGCTAGAGAAAGAACAATATATTTAATATGAATAGAAGATATAAAGTAACACTGAGATGGACCACGTCTGCATGGACGAGCCATGCCACTCGATCAACTCCAGTCCATTCAATTCTTTGTTCGCGCCTTCTCCATTGTTAGGTATTTCTCGGCGTTAAATATTGAATATTTATTTTCTGAGTAGTCTCGTGTTCACAGCTTTGTGGATTGTGTGGCTATTGTCCAATGCCACTACACATCCATCATCCTCTATTGCTAAACATATAATTGAAACAGGTCACAAGATTGATCTCAATTCAGCTTTTGTAGTGCTGTATAAAAGTGTAAAAGGGCGTATACTAAGGTTCATTGAAGCCTTAGCCATACGAAAATTCAAACCCCCTTTATGTGTTCAAAAACAGTTTGTTCTTACCTTAAACCTACCCTGGTAATATTGACTTATTATCCAGAGTGATTAGGTTTCAAATTGTGTTCACATTATTATTATTATTACTCTTATCATTATCCTTATCTCCTCTTACGCCGTTTCCTGTCTAGTTGACCTTTTATTTTTATATATAAATGCTCCTAACAAGTATATGTGTGACCAGATTGTTCGAAATGTATTGCGCTAATATATCACATAGTTCTGATAATCTTCGTCTTCTAATATCATTATCGAAATTTATCAGATATATCTTCGAACCTCCTAGCTTCTGTCATTTGACTTCACTTGGTGGCTACGATTCATATTAGAAGGTATTACTGGTTAAAGCGCTGTCAAACTTCAAATAGATATGGCATGTTCTGCGGATTCACACAGTGTCTTAGTACAATATGGAAATTATACTGTGAACACACTACTTGTACATATTCTTTGCGTTGTCTTTTACGTACTCCATTATTGTTCTAACTGTGATATTATTTATTGTTCTTCAATTTCCTTTTTGTTCTCTTCAACCCAGCTTGCTGCTGCCAGACATTGCACTTCCGGTTCTGGCTACTTACTACTTACATCACTGAGCATAAGTAACATACACCACATGTTGACCGATAACCTTTCGTATTCGAAGCAACATTTCTATTGTTGAGCCGTGTTGCAACCCGATGTTGTGGTAAAATTGGTCTAACCTTTGTTGTACAAGTAAGATGAAACCATAAAAAATATGAACCACAACGAGAACCACTTGCAAAATAATTTTATGTCAATTATCTACACAAGGCTAGCTCACAGTTGCATGTCACATGTGTTGCAAACAACACATTTCGTACATTCATCTGAGGATTAAGCAAACCAACATGATGTGCGAGATTATAACTTCAAATCATCGAAAATGGGCATTTAGGTTAGAAAAATGTTAAGGACTTACAAATATACCCGGGGAACTCACTAGAATGCCATGAACTATGAATAGTAAAAACAAAGAATAAAAGCATTTTAAACCTAACCCCTGTGGAAATGGGCTTAATATATAACTAACAGGGAAAGGAGCTATGTTGCTTTTCAACTTATAATAATAGTGAAGTTATTCATCAAGTCCGCCAACCATTGGTTTTATAACACTGTGTATCTTTTGGAATCATGGTCTTATCCACTTAGACTTCTACCTAACAGCATTACTAATGTCGTCCAACTGGTTACAGGAGTTATCCAAGTGAAATATTATCTTACATCGCAACCCGTTGAACATTTCACCATCTGCGAATGGCGAGGCGGCTTATATGAATTGCATTTCCAATGTCCTATAGCCTGCATGTTATGGGCATTTAAGTGAAGTCAGTTTCGTTTGTCCAATAATAAATGTACCCCTTACGTTTTTAACAATGCTCCGCGCTATTTAATGCCCTCTTATCACCTTTCGCTCAAATACACATAAAGACTAAATGTGTCGAAAGTCTCCAATCTCCCTTTTTCTCGGAATATTTTTGTCAATTTCGAGGAAGCTCCAATGAAAAATTTCAGTGGAATGTGACCAAAAACCAAAACACTTCCCTTCGTCTGAAGGTTTTCCCGGAAACAATCTAAAACTTTGAAGAAATCCCAAAGATTTTTGGAGAAATATTAAGTTCCCTCGAAACACTTTTATTATGGGGAATTTTCGGGTTTTAGTCACATTTCTCTAAAACCTTCCACTGGATTTTCCTCAAAACTAACAAAAGTTTTTCCTAAGATAGTTTGGGAAAAATACGACTTTTTATTTAACTTTGGGTTGAATCGCAAAAGTACCTAACAAAATTAGTTTAATATAGGTTGGATTGTTCTTTTTAACGGGCTTACAAAGTTTAGTGGGTGTGACACCTTGAAGCAATGTATATGCGTACATGTTCTAAGCTAATCAGAATTAGTCAATAACACTTTGAAGAGTTGTATCAAATGCTTTTTTGAAAAAAATGCCTTTTTTATTTTGTCAGTCTGTTAGCCCCTCCTGAGCCAGAAACAGTCTTAGCCTAAACTTGGAGATTTAATAATAAACAGTGTATATTTACTTGAAAACATCGGTTGCATCTCCCCTAGTCCTGATGGTTTTCCATCTTAAATCTCGTCAGGAATTTAGGGACATCAAGCTCCTAAATGATCACCCTGCTCAGATTGTAGCTAAAGAGAAAACTGTATCCGTTCCCGAAATAAACGCTCCTCTATCGAATGTACATCGCTCAGATATTCTGAAAGCCCCAGTTATTATGGAGTCGCTTCCTACTTATGATAATGTAAGACCATCTCCATATTACACTGGGGTATCGTCTCCCTTTGTCTGGCTTGTTTATGCGAATGAGTGTTTCAAGTTCACGATGTGATGACAAATAAGTACCATCTAACATTTTATGATTAACAAGTTTTTTTCAATTGTCGGCACTTAAATATAAATTCTTAAGTTCCAAGTAACTTGAAGCTTTTTTACGTTTCTTCCTTTTAGCTTAGAGTTTAGTTCTCTTCTAAAACACACCGATGTTTCTCCATTTGAATGATATTTCCCGGGTTCATACGGCTTCACGACGTTTGTAAAGAATTAGACTATCGTCTCAAACTGTATGTATTGTGATTTCTCCCTCAATATCCCAGCATATTCAACGTGACACATGTACAATTCCCTAAACAGTCAGTCAGCTACAACGTAGGACCAGGCACATATATACATCGGTCCAAGTCGCCATACCTCAGCACCGCAAGATGAACACTGGATTCATAGTAGTTAATTCAGTGGTAATATATAACAGATTGCTTATAAGGATCTAGTACGGGAAGAGAGATAGGAAGCGGTCTTAATCAAATAGTTTAAGGGGAGACAAAGAGTGTATACACCGACACCATTGTGATCGATTCTGAGCCATGTCGCCAAGAGTCTACAACCATTGGTTACGATAGTCACGCGGACCCAACCAAGTAGTCTGCATCTACCAACATGGCTCAGATCAGAAGTTAGTTACTATAAGCACTGATGCTACGTTTTAGTTTGGCCACCCCTAACTTTCTTCCAACCATCCCCAACACCGGGTAGCATTGCACGTCGTAGTGATCGGTGTTCAGGCATATGCAATACGTGGTCCAACCATCTCAGTCGATGAAGACTCACAACCTCATCAACTGATTTACCATCATTCCCTAATACTGTGCGTCTAACACTATTACTTACCCGGCGATCCCAGCAGACGCCAGCAATATTTCTAAGACATCTGTGGTCAAATACTAATAGCTTACGAGTGTCTTCTACTCTTAGTGGCCATGTTTCGCTGACGTAAAACAAAACAGAACGGACAGCCGTGCAGTATGCTCGTCCTTTTATTGATAGACGGATATCTCGCCTTCACCACAGGTGACGTAAGTTGACAAAAGCCGAACGAGCTTTTCCAATCCGTGCTGAGGTTTCGTCAGACACCAAGCCATTAGGGTTGATCAGACTTCCAGGATAAGTGAAGATGTCGATGCGTTCGACTATTTCACTCCCTGTTCTTAGTTCAGGTGTTGACGCAGGTCAGTTCTGAAGCAACAATTAGCATTTAGAGAGGGAGAAGCGCACCCCAACCATTCTGGCATTACTGCTCAGTGCTACCAAAAGACTCTGCATTCCCTAAACAACTATATTCCAGACACTTCATCTAATTAGATTGGATACAGATGTTGCCAGATATCTTAAAAACAAAGAATAACACTGCACGGTCACTTTTACTGAGTATTGAGGTGCATGCACGACCAAGGACATCTCATGAGTTAATATGCGATCGAAAGATGTTTCTGACTCTTAGTTTCACTTCGTTGCTTCCCTCAGGTTTTGTTTGTGTGTGTTCAAATGTGTTTTAACCTGGATCTTAGCTACTCAGTCCGGAAATATCAACGCAATACCACCCAAGTTTCAGTATAATTCAAGCGTGACTGCCCGCTTCAACACTATGCTCACAACACTTAATCTAACAGTTAGAAAAATAAGGTCAAACCTATGAATGAGAATATAGATTGAAAGTAGGCCGCTCACTAGCATTCTTCATCCAACTCTGTCCCGGGCAATCCTTTCCAGTTGTTATTCATCCTTTTCATGCTTGCCTTCGATTCCCGACGTAGTATGTTCTTCGGCCATACACTTTTCCGTTTCCCTTCACGATTCCAGCTTAGCGCTTTCCTCGTGATGCAATCTGTTGATTTCCATAATGTATGTCCTATCCACTTCCATCGTCTTTTCCTAACTTCCTCTTCAGATGGAACCTAGTTTATTCTCTCCCACAATAGGCTGTTGTTGCTGCCAATGGTATCCCGTCAATGGACGTTGAGTATCTTGCGTAGACAATTGTTTATAAATACTTGTACATTTTTGATGATGGTTGTGGTAGTTCTGGGAGTTTCAGCTTCGTACAATAGGACTAACTGTCTTCACGTTCGTATAGAAGATTCTCACTTCGATGTTGGCTGACAGACAGCTGTTTTGAGTCCCATATTTTCTTCAACTGTATGAATGCGGCTCTTGCTTTACCAATCCTTTCTTTTACATCTTCATCGGAACTTCCTTGTTCATCAATGATGCTGCTGTCCAGGTGTGTGAAAGTTTTCACCAGTTCCAGAGTTTCTCTACCAAGTGTGGTTAAGTTTATTAGTGTTCTCCGTGTTGTATTTGAGGATCTCGCAATTTCCCTTGTATATGTTGAGGTCTACTGATGTAGAGGCTGCTGCTGCACTGGTTGTCTTCATCTGCATTTGTTGGTCTGCACAGGGTAGAAGAGCTAGATGATCTACGAAGTCCAAATCGTCTCGTTGCATCCAACCTGTCCATTGTATTCCGTGCATCTTCTCAGGTGTGAAGGTCATCATGGTCCATTCATTTATTTTTTTGCTTCAGTGTATTCAGCTTGTGTCTTGACTTTCTCTGTTCCTGTTCGGCTGTCTTTTTTTCTTCACTCTTGTCCAAAGTTACCATTGATATCCATTCCTTATGATTATGATGTTTGTTGCGTTCCAGAACTCCCTGATACGTTCAAGTTTACGCCTTTGTCATCCCTTTTCAATGGTCCTCCATAATAGTTTTTTCTTTGAGTAGATGTAAGGTTTGGAACCTGTTGTTCAAAGTTATCATGAATTGGTTGAGTTTGGCAGTATGTAAAAGGAAGGCTGTATTATTTATTATTCTAACACATAGATATTGGCACAAGGAGGCACCAAATACATATGCGCCACACAAATCTCATTCGATATGTGTGAGGGCTGTGATACTGCCCGGGTGCCCAAACCGAAGCAGGTGGTTTTCTTAGGGGGCCACCCCCCGAGCCTTCGACATGAAGGTTTGATCCACAAGGCAGTGGAGCATCGTAAGGAGATGCAGTCCCATGGTAGCCCGTGACCAACAATTGGTCCATACACCATTTGTTCCTGCAGGATACTGGAGCCCATGTGCACCATTGGTTTGGAATCCGGTTAAAGCGCCGGACATTCGCTTTTCGTCCTCTCATTTTCGTAAACAACACCGGTGCCACGAGAAGGCAATGATTAGGACTTCCCTGGCAGAGGCTGTATACGCGTGGTCGTTTGAAAGCATTTCGAGAAGGAGAGCTGACTCTTTCCACCCTCGGTGGTACCAAGGCATTTGGGGGCTCGAGTTTCGTCCTGACTCTCGTCGAACTGATCTTCATCGTGGTCACTGCTATCGTCGGTGGGTGCTTAACATTCCATAGTATTTATTGTGATTTCCTTCCTATTTGATTTGAAAGGTGCTTCGATGATCCTGGATCCATGAGATCCCCATCCTATAATTGCATTACGTGCTTCTTTAAACAGCATCGGAGCAACTCCCTGAGCATGTGGAGCATTTTCGTCTTCGTGACTGGAGTACAGCAGCATCTTTTCCAAATCTATCATTTGCTGTCTAGTTTGGGTCCAATGGGTATCCTCTCAATTCCATTGCTATTTGATTGGTCCTCCCTATCTCCAACATTGTCCAGACATTCCATATACCTGTGAAATTTGTTGCTCTGACTATTTGAAATGGAAATTATTTCCGTCATAGTCTGTCCCATAAGCTGAAGAGGAAAAAAATCAACTTCTTTCCCCACTGTTACTGTAACTAGTGCATCCATCATTTTGGAAGTGCTGTGTTGCTTCATATTTTTTGGTTGTCATTTAGCCACACCTCAATATCTAATCATTAAAATACATTAGATGAAACCTCAATCCGGGTAGTTAGGCAATCTGAGTTCTTTTGGGCCGTGGTACGGCCGATGACGTTGAGAGTCATCTCGAAATGCTCTCACGGCCACGCGTATACAGCCACTACCTTCTCACAACGGGGATGTTGCTTACGGAATTTAGAGGACGAAAAGCGAATGCCCGGTGCTTCAACCGGATTGGTGGATACGAAGGTTCCACTTGGGGGAGTTGAGAAACCCTGATTCCAAACCACTGGTACACATGGGCTCCATAATTCTAAGGAAACAAATGGTGTATGAACCTATCGTTGGTCACCGGCTACCATGGGATTGCATCTCCTTGCGTTGCTCCACAGCCTTGTGGATTAGACCTTGAGGTCAAAGGCTCGGGGAGTGTTCCTCCAAAAGAACCACCTACTTCGGTTTGGGCACTCGATCAGGATGCCAGCCCTCACGCGAATCGAATAGTGAAGTGTGGCGCATATGTGTTTAACTAAATAATAATTAGCTACGCCTGTGGATCACAGTTTTTCTGTGAAATTTCTAAATACCTCTTGATCTTTTCTTCAATAACTGTTAGGAGTATATGTATTCTACTCTTTCATGTAATTCTAAGACCATCCAAAGCAAGTGAAAAAATATATTGGGGATAATAGAAATTGTTAGATTTTGTAGTTTAGCATCACAAGCTGGGCTTAGGTAGCCATTAAGAATCAGGAAGTACTAAACAGCTATTTCTTCCTAGTGTAGGGACTCTCCAGTTGTGTACACCCATGGTTTTAACGGGGATTGGGACTAGGAACTCTGAGGCCTGTAAGTCGTGGGTTGTGTATCAGGTATTGAAGCACCGTGGGCTATAATAATTTAAGTGATAAAAATTAAATGGTTTCTCAAAATCAAATGAATTAACACTATTGTTAGGATTAAGTGTTTCTCTTATTTGACTTTTATTCAGATTTGTTCTGTCCATAAGTATTGTTTTTTTACTTACGATATATTCTTTTTGTATCAACTTTTAGACTCTCTTTTGAGAGTGTGATTTCATGGAATATTTCTCTGGCACACTTAATATTCGAATATATGAAGCAGCTGAATTAAAACCGACAGCTTGTGCAACTCGTCATGCGGTTGGACCAGCTGCTAAATTATATGAACTTTTAGATCCCTATGTGACAATCGATGTGGATGATAATGCAGTTGGTAAAAGTTCCACAAAATCCCGTACAAATATACCACAGTGGAATGAGGATATTTGTGCAAGAATCAATTATGCTCAACAACTTACATTTACTGTATATCATGATGCTGCTATTCCTCCTGATGATTTTGTTGCCATCGTTGAATTGGCTTTACGAGATGTTCGATTTGGTGAAGATATGTGGTTGGAATTGGAACCTCAAGGAAAATTACTTATACGTATTGATTTGGCTGGCACGAGAACGGATGAACCGCCAAGAGATCGTCCAGGATTTCCTAGTCGAGATAGTGCTATTGGCGGCGTACATGGGAAGCATTATCGTTGTGGTGCACTTCGTCGTAGAATTCACCAAGCAAAAGGTCATAAATTTCAAGTTACAAGTTTGCGCCAATTTACATTTTGTTCATTGTGCAATGGATTTATTTGGGGTTTATGGAATCAAGGTTATCAGTGTCAAGTGTGTACATGCGTTGTTCACAAACGTTGTTATTTAAATGTAATAACTCAATGTCCTGGTGTAAAGTCACCTCCAAGTTGTCCAACAGCTGCTCTCCAAGTAAGTTCATTAAGATGACAAATGGATAATACTAGTTAGATGCATAAGTAAAGTTTACTAGTCCACAAGTGTAAATGGTCATCTTTAAATGTAATGTAGTTTATTTGAATTATGTCATAGCAATATCAATTCAGTGATTATTCAAACGATATTATCTTTATATCTCAGCATCTTAGTCTATCACCTATCTACACTACCAAGTCATGAGTTCGAATATTACTTTATATATCAAAGTTTAAGTAACTAGATAGTATCAGTAACCATCCTTCCAACCTGTTTCATAAATACTTTCACATAACTACAAGCTTGATGAAGCTGTGAATCTTCATCAACTATGATGATTGGAAGGTTTGTTACGTATGCCGAACCACCGTCCACCTCGACAGGTAATGTTTGCTAGTATAAAAGTCGGTTGGAAGAAAGCTAGTGACTGCCTAATTGAAAAACGGCATTAATCTATGAAATCATAGACTGTTGATGTGAACCGTTTAGGCAGATGCAGACTAGTTGGTTTAGGTCTGCTCAAAAATCGTGGCTAGTGACTGAAGACTTTAAGGGATAAGGTTCAGAATCTTTCACACTGCCACAGTTCCATCCACTCTTTATCTTTCACTCGATTTTGAATTCTAGTATTCCCTCATACATATTTTTACACTCTATCTTTTTGAACTATATTTTCACTCTTCAGTCTTACTTTTTGCTGTACGTTTGTGATAACTAACTAACTAATAGTGTCATATTCATTTTATTATCAAATGATCTAATACAAGTAATTTTTAAAACCTACAATTTCATGAGTAGAAATTCAATTTAAACTAATTCATTGTTTTACAATCTATCTAACACTAAATGTTCATTTTAAATCCTTGTTATTTTTTACACTGTAATTGTCGTGATTTTTAACAAATCTCTCCATGCAGAGAAGGGCTAAAGCATACAATCACCTCTTTCCTTCATGCTAAATTAACGGTGAGATAAAATGGTAAAGTTGATCAATTTCATTTTATTGACATTTCAGAAATAGTTTTGGTTAAAATGTGCAGTAACAGTACACTACTCCCTGGATGAAAATGACAGTGATAATGATTTCTCACTTCATAGTGAAATATAAGCTACATAAATCACACTTAATCAGTTGACGACCGACATTAATTATTGTATATAATTTACACTGACGTAAACTACTAAAAAAGCTATGGAGGTTTTTGTCTGGATCCACATTTTGTGATGAGCCACTTAAAATAAGTTTATTTATTCAAGTAACTGTTAGTATATGGTGTCGGTAGTTATGATAAATGAGATCGATATACGTATAATAAAACCTATAGACAATTCGGCCGATCAAATAGCTTTACAGATAGTTATACATTGGCATTATCTTTCACATCTCTTTTGTTTGTTTTTCTTTCTATCGTTTACTAGAGTCGCTTCAATATTAATGTCCCTCACAAATTTCGAATTCATACATTTATGCGTCCAGCATTTTGTGATCATTGTGGTTCTTTGCTATTCGGTTTAATGCGTCAAGGTTTACAATGTGAAGTTTGTCGTTTAAATATTCACAAAAGATGTGAGAAAAATGTTGCATCACATTGTGGAGTAAACACACGTAATCTAGTAGCTGCAATTCGACTATGTGGACTTAATCCATCTGATTTAGGTGTTAGCCCATCAGGTACAACTACACTGACGCCAGGACCTGGAGTTACCGGTCCAAGTCGAACTGCAAGTACTACTATTTCTTCAGTTCGTCCTATATCGGCTGGTTCACGTGGTGTTGGTCCTTTCGGTACTTACGGTGATGTCGTTTTCTCAACTTCACCTGGACCTTTAAAACCAAGTAAAGGTGATACCGGTTTTTCTAGGTGAGTGATAAGATTAGTTTAGCTGAATCTTTCTAATATGATTATTAAACGTCTATACACTAATCATCAACGTTAATCATATAATAGTTTCCCCCCTCTCTCAATTTATTTCTCCATATTTGGTGGTACGAGAGATTATCTTTTATAAATACATGGGCTACGTTAGGATGTTTTTTCTGTTATTGGTGTTGTTGAGTAATTCCCTGAGCTCGATGATTTAACCGCAAAGCCTTCATTGTTCTAGATAACATCATCAGGATCGACTTCATTTAGTAAGTGAGCTCTTATAATGTTACACTGTGAATGACGGCGAAAGCTCAGCAATTGAACCATCTAACCCAAAGAACTCATCAACATCAAAAATATCCACCTAAGCTACAAATCCTCATTATCTCACTTCGTACTAGATTGTAAATTTAATAAACTATAAAAAACATTGTACTTGTACTGTGTACTGTTCATTATGCTATTTATATTTTCTCGAAGTTATAAATCGGTTTTCCGAGCAGTTATGAGCGGCCAAACCAAAACGTGATATTAGTCCATGAAATCGTCGACTAGTGGTCTAAGCCATGTAGGTATATGCATACTACCTGGTTGATGTCACCATGATAATCGTGATCAGCGGTTGAAGATGTTAGGTGACGTGGCTCCGAATTGTTTTCAGTGGTGCAGTTGCATTCAGTCTATCTTCCCCTCGATTTTGAACTCCAGTATCCCTTCATCCATATGTTTTAACTCGGTCTTTTAAAATCATGTCCCTACGATTAAGTTTTAGTTTTTATCACAGCTGCTACATTATTTCAATCTCTCGGTATTTTCATCTTGTCATCCTAGTCAGGTATAGCAACTTGGCTCAACGCACAAACTGTGCCATGCTTTATGTTGATATCTACATATATCATATTTATTGACTCGAAAAACTAAAATAATCATCTCAGCAACTGGATAGTTATTTATTCAAAAGGCTTTGTTAAGTTGTAGACGAAATTAATTTGAAATATTTCAAGAATTCTCTTAGCTGTTGCTGCGTTTGAAGAGATTATAATATCACTTAAACCGGGCGAACGGGACGAAAATCAACAACACAACAGGATAAGCTAAACGGTTCCATTGCACCCCAGCGCTGTTAACTAGAGGAAGCAGACTAGATTCAGCCGAGGGAAATGTTTATTCTACAAACAGTCAGAGAACGAACAAAGAACCACACAAGTGCGTATATAAACAATACAAAAATGTCCTTGGGAAACACCACAAAATAGCGTACTAAAAGCAGAAACGAACCAGTGACATTTAAGATGCTTCCAAGTAGGAAATACAAACTGAAGGTAAAAGTGGGTGCTTTTAGTGCGGAAATGAGATATTCAAATTTCCAAAATAAAACTGCAAAAATGAGTCGTTTACCAAGTGATTTCTGGGGATCTAGCAACCCCAACAACTGTTTATATGATATTTTATTGCTCACAAAGTTACAGCATTGTAGTATATATGCATATAATGTTTCTTTAAAAGTGAGTATACACCATAAAAATACCATTTACAAATGTAGTCGCACCAATAAAGACATTGTTAACTGAACACATGGTCTTCGTTGAGTGTGTACAAGCTGATCTCAAACGTCGAAGGAAAAAATTGGTCTTTTTCAACCAAATTGATTGTCGCAATAACGACGTGCTCGTTTTTAAATCAACATGTAGTATATACTTTAATGTAGGATAGGTTTAAAGCCATACATTTGTAAAGAATTTAAATTAATCCTAAAATCGTTTTATTAAATATCACAATTTTTATTTTATATTATTATTCATTTGAACACATAAATATTGGTACAAAGGTGCACCGAATACATGTGCGCTACACAAGTCACTTTGTTTGTGTATGGGTTGGGATACTGCCCGGGTGCCCAGACCGAAGCAGGTGGTTTTCTTAGAGAGCCACACCCGGAGCCTTTGACCCAAAATGTCTAATCAACAAGGCAGTGGAGCAGCTTAGGGAGATGCAGTACCATAGTGGCCGGTGACCAACCATAGGTCCGACCCCCCTAGGTGGACCCTTCGTGTCCACCAACTCGGTTAATGTGCCGGACATTCGCTTTTCGTCCTCTCAACTTCGTAAACAACATCCCACCACAAAAAGGCAGTGAGTAGGACTCCCCTGGCAGTGGCTGTATACGCATGGCCACGTGAGAGCATTTCGAGAGGGAGAGTTAACTCTCCTCACCCTCGACCGTACCAGGGCATTTTGATTATTATAAAGAAATCACAGTAACAACTAAACAATATTACAATGTATTCCTACTTAATATCTATTCAACTTGTATATTAACATTCAGATATACATGAATATATTTTCATTTAATGACTTTTTTCACATTAGCACATGATTATATATTGAATGTTGTATGAACTCCAGATCACTTCAATGATCCGTCATTTACAAAACGTATAACATTAAAGAATATATATATATATTGTTCACTGTAATAATTCATTTCGTTTAAATTTAGCAGGAATTAGGGAATGATGGTAAATCAGTTGATGAAGTTGTGATTCTTCATCGACTGAGATGGTTGGGCCACGTGTTGCATATGCCTGAACACCGATCACTACGACGTGCAATGCTATCCGGTATTGGAAATGGTTGGAAGAAAGTTAGGGGCGGCCAAACCAAAACGTGGCATCAGAGTATGAAGTAACTAATTTCTACTCTGAGCCATGTTGGTAGATGCAGACTACTTGGTTGGGTCCGCGTGACTTTCGTAACCAATGTTTGGAGACTATTGGCGACATGGCTCAGAATCGATCACAATGGTGTCGGTGTATACACTCTTTGTCTCCCCTTAAACTATGGGATTAAAATCGCTTCATATCTTTCTTTCTATGTACTAATTCTTTCTTCCTGTACTGGATCCTTATATGCAATCTTTCTTTTATATATTTCTACCATTGAAGTAACTACAATGAATTTGGTTTTCATGTTGTTGTGCTAATGCAGTACAGCAACTTGGACCGATGTGCCTGGTCCTAGACTGTAGCTGACTGACTAACTAACAGGAATTACCTTCACAATAGGTTTTAAACTATTTTATTTAAAAAAGACTTCTGATTAAATACATTAGACAATGATTGACAGCAAAAATATTTTTTCTAAAATGTTTTTGTAGTATTTTTTCGAATTAGAAAGTGATATGGTGAGCTAATCAGAAGTAGTGTAATGAGAAGGTCGGCGAGATTATAATTTATGGACGAACCAATCAGATTTAAGACAACAGATTTTGGATTTTAGCGCGAAATTCATCCTCATTTGTCTAAATACTATTTCGGCATTATAGCAGGTTTCGGTTCGTGATGTAAGCATTAAATCCAATTTCTAACCATCAACTGTAAATCATAATTCTAATTCCTCTCACTGGTTTATAATCATCATTTAGTCCTAGTTAGTAGTAGGTGGGCGTTTTCAAAGTCTCCTTAAAGTCAGCACTCAAGGGCTGTCCATAAATTATGGTCTAGAATCGTAAGATTTGTAACTGTAACTATAAAATCAAACAATACATTTTTACACAATAGGGCCCATATAAAACTTTTACAATAGCCAAATAATCCTACAATTGCTACTCATTCTTATTCTATCAAGTAACTAAACTAATTAGTAATTAATTAGTATGTTTTAATCTTGACTGATGCGAACCACCAAGTATTGAATAGTGTACACTCGACTTTGAAATTCACTTCATGTGTTTAGGGCTAGTGATCAAACAGTTGGTATTATTTATATTTGCATTTTAATGTTCCCCTTATTGTAAGCATTCTCAATTATTACTAATCAATTATGTATTGTTTGCTTTGCTATCTGTCATACACTGCATGATTTTATTAAAAATATGACTTTATTTGGTGTGCTTTGTAGTCACACATTTCAGTTATATTCCTGTGTGCATTTTGAGTCATAATTCAACTGACTATAATAGGAGAACTTACTTGCTTCCTACCTTCGTCTGGTCTAAAAGAGCTCAATGATCATTAAGCGTTAAGATCTTGTCTGTTGTTGGTCGGTCGATCTGTCAATTGGTACTCAGAAGGTCACCGATCCTACTGGCAAAATAAATAAACTAATCGACAATCAGAATCTTTATCGTTCAATCTAGCACTTAATATCGATTAGCGTCTCGCATCACACCGGAAAGTATATCCTTATCTCTTTCTATCACCATAGATATAAGGTAATTTGATCTTACTCAACATATACACATCATAATCCACGGTTACACATATCAAATACTGTTCGTATAAAAATAATGATAGCGTTTTAAGATTTCAAGATATTTCCTACAGAGATTTTAATCACTTTTAGTTTGATAAATCTATTCCTATTCTCTTTCTTTTCCCAGTTCCTCATTAATTGGAGTCGCTCCTCACGAAAGATCACTTAGTTCTCCTATTTCCATGCCAACAACAGATCTCAGTGGTAGCGGTATTGGTCGTGGTGCTCCTGGTGGCGGTAGCATGGACATAGATGAGTCGAGCAGCAGATATGCAGCATTAGATCCTACATCTGGAAGTGGTTCACTGAGCACTGCAGGGCCAGTCGCTGGTCGACATGGAATGCCTGCTCAAAGACCATCTTCATTACAAGTATGCGTTTTGCGGTATTATTTGTCATCATGTAAATTGTGGTGAAGCTTTTCTCCTCTTAATAAACTGCTCGCCCATGACTGTTAGCTCTTGGTGTACGGTTTCATACAAGTCATATCGATTCACTTTGCCTGAATACTATTAGTTTGGGTCGGAGCCTACAAAGAACTGTTATGTGTTAGCTACTTCAAGTATAATCCTTTTGCATCGCCCATTACCTCCCTCTTTCTTTTTGTATTCAATATTATTATAGATAGGCTATTGAATGGGAATATTGCATCGAACACATCTCAACGTAATAATCTACCGGAATTTCTTATTTACTTAACTTAATACTGTTTAGTGGAAACGTTGACAAGTTCCAAGTTTTCTGAACCCCTTGATAGACGAAAAAACGTTTGAATCATGTATCAGTCTATTCTTATTATAAAGAGAGCAAGGTAGTGAAGCGTGTTGACGAAACTAATTTATGCACAACATGACGAGTGTTGAACAATTCTACTAAATGGTGAAATAACACAAATGCCCAACATTTTAAAAATACATATAATCATCGCAGAATATATACTTTTTACTACTTCTATGGATGATACAATGAAAGATGTGCGTGCTTATTTGTAGAGTAATATATTGGGTACCAGTCGCTATGATTTCAGTTTCAACCCACTCACCAGATTTGAAGTCTACTAATTTGATAATTTTAAGAAACTCATTTCATTCATTTTTGTATTGGTTATTTGAATCTGCTCATTGATGTTTAGGACTGCAGTTGATCAATATCTTATTAGCATACAGGCATCCTGTGCAGATTACCTCGATATTGCCTTAAGTCACAAGCATTATAAGCGATGATGTTGGCTAATAGTGAAATCCAGGACGTGCGTTTCGTCCTATTTGGGACTCGTCATTTGGATGTACCTGCATCTCGGCTAGTAGCTATCTGAACTCAGTAGCTAAGTAGATAACGCGATGGCGTTTGAAGTGAATAGTACTGGTTTCAAGTCCCGGAGTGAACATCAATTCTGGAATGCAGGTACATCCAACTGACGAGTCCCAACTAGGATAAAACGTGAATCCTGGAATCCATTGTTGGCCACCACCCATCTCTTATTTCAGTTAGCTCTTATCGGATTTTTTACACATTTCTTAACACATTGGTATGTTCAAGTTACTGTGGCAGAACTCCTGTATAATTTTAATACTATGAATTATCACTTTAATTGAATCATATGGTTTATGTGTGTTTCCTCCTTTGTTCTCTTTTTAATGTCTATATTAGGACCCTCCTGATGCTCATGGATGTACCACAGCTTCACAGATTCCTTGTTTAATGGATTTTACATTTCTCAAAGTATTAGGCAAAGGTAGTTTCGGCAAAGTAATGCTTGCTGAATATAAATCAACTGGTGAAGTATTTGCTGTAAAAGTTTTAAAAAAAGAAGTTATATTACAAGATGAAGATGTGGATTGCACCTTAACCGAAAGACGTATTCTTGTTTTGGCTGCACATCATCCATTCTTGACGGCACTTTATTGTGCATTTCAAACTGAGGTAATATATAGAAATTGCTTACCAGTGTTTCTGTCTGACCTTTTAAATTTCTCGTAAATATTGATACAGCTACTTCTTATAACTGAGGAAAAACTACTTGTTACCTCTTACACCTACCCTATAACAAAATTAATTTGATTCAATGCAAATAAAAAGACCAAAGTTCAAATCAGAATTTGTGATACACCACAAATAAATGTACACTATATCCAATTACCAATCAACACCTATATAAAAAATACACTGGATTGCTTATGATTTATGTATTTGGTCAATATTCAATAACTTAATACATGTGTACAATGAACAACAACAATAGTTTTTTTCAATGGTTAAGATCATGAGTCAGCTGAAGCTAGACCACCATGGAAAACCTGGAAGGACTGGACGGCCGTTTCGTCCTTTTGTGGGACTCCTCAGCAGTGCGCATCCACGACCTCGCCCCATGCGAGATTCGAACCCAGGACCTACCAATAGATTTAACTGTATCCACTAACAATATAAATGTTACTAAATTCTATATTTAATTGGTCTTTCCTTGAGCCTTTCACCTTTTTCTATTGGGTCAGTCAGTTTAAAAATTGATTATCCCTCGTAACAAGTATTGAAATACAGTGTTCAATTTTCACTAGACTGTTTATTTACTTAATTCAAATCTTATCTCAATACAAGATAACTAAATCATAGGTGATAGAAAGAATAAGGAAACACTACAATCTGTTAGTGAGGTAAATTCTAACTGGCCTACGAAGTTGTGATCCCATCACGTCAGTCAGTTAGATGCAATGCGAAACCTAGCACAGGAGCAAGTTGTCACACCGCATTAGCACAGCGAAATAAAATTATCAAGACAAATCTGAAGTACTAGAAGTAGTGACAGCATTAGTAGCAGTAGTAGTGTAGTAAACGAGGACACAGATGGGGACAACCAAATGAATTTAAATACAAAATTATAGAACACATTAGTAAAGTCTGAAAACCATACAGTAAATACTTCATTTGCAAAATATCCATCAGTTGTTTCGGACTTTGTCGTTCCTTTGTTTTCATACCAATCACTCTCTGTTCTCGTTCTCTTCTATTTTCTTAGCCTTCTGCCATCAGGCATTCCACTATCGATTGATGATACATATTACTCATATCTCTCGACATCAGTAGCACATACCACAGGAGGAGGAGTAGTAGTTTATCTGTTTTTTCTCTTAATTTGTCTGTGTTAGTTACTTCATCTTTTTTCGTTTGTCTCTTCACAATTTCATTAATTTTGTCTAGTAAATATTTAATTTAATCCTCATTTATACAAATAGTTATCCGCTCAAATGAAATAAATATTAGTTAACCTAATCCCCTTTTCTTTTCCTAGTTATCACTGTTTGTTAGTTGTGTAACTACTAGACATATACAGCACATTATGCACTCTTCATCTGATTCGTCAGAAGATGATGAAACTTATCTTGTATAACTAGTTCCCCCTATATCTAACCTTCATATTACTTTCTTCATAATTCGAACTTATTTGAAAAGGAATATTCTTTTTGATTACAGATATCCCAGCTTTAAGTTGTCATATTTACTGGGTGCCGTACTATTGACTCCTGTATATGGTGACTAGTTAAATATTTATTTCATTGAATATGCCCAAGTCAATATTAAGTAATCTTTCAATAACTTCGTTTGTTTAACATTTGAGTTACAACCTGTATAAATAGATAAATATATCGATTATTCTATCAAGGTTTACTTAATGGTCATAGTGAAATATTACTTTCGTTTACTTAATCTTTTTTATTGATTGATTGATTATTGTGCTTACCTATCTCTATTTAAATGTACACTAAATAGGACCGTCTATTTTTTGTCATGGAATATGTGAATGGCGGTGATTTAATGTTTCAAATACAACGTGCACGCCGATTTGACGAGGCTCGTGCAAGATTCTACGCTGCGGAAGTTATCTTAGCTTTAATGTTTCTGCATAATCATCATATTGTTTATCGAGATTTAAAATTAGATAACATTCTACTGGATGCTGAAGGACATTGTAAATTAGCTGATTTCGGTATGTGTAAAGAAGGCATGAAACCGGGGCGATCAACATCAACATTTTGTGGTACACCGGATTATATTGCACCAGAGGTTTGTTTTTTTTCCCGCACAATTCTGTTATTTATGTGTTTTAGATAATAAAATATCATTCTAACCTATTGTAACACTGAAATGTTTCAAGCTTTTAACGGAAATATAATTGTCACCAATTAAAGTTTAAGTTGACATCGATTGTATGTATAAAGTACACTGATGATAATTTATGAAGGATTGTAATAATTTTATTTATAAAGGGATATTGTTAACAATAACGATTGCATAATGAGTCGGTGGCTCAGTGATTAAAACACTCAACTTTTAGTCACTAATTCTTTGTTTTAAACCCTCACTCTAACTACTTCGGTTTGAAAACCGGGTAACATCACTAGCCGTCACACTTAGAGTGTAGCTCAAATCATGTTAGACGGATCAATAATAATAGCAACAACAGTAATGTTAGTTATTATTATTATTATTATTATTATTATTATTATTATAGTTTGATTAATCAATTATGCTGTTCACTATCTTAATAAAATTTTGTCAATTTGTGTGTGAGCTTTATCTGAGACACAGTATTCTCGTTCATTCAACCTTTCAATTGTGAATACCTCGTATACTGTTTTAATGACATCAAATTTCGTCAACCTAACAAATGAATCAATAATGTATCAACTTTTTTGTGGATAAGTATTCACTCTTTTAAACGTTGGACTCCAGATTCTAAAAAGCTTAGTGTCTATGTAAATTTCTACATGCATATATATATATATATATATATATATATATATATATATATATATATATATCTTTTTTCCCCAACAGATTCTTGCTGAACTTGACTATGGATTCAGTGTTGATTGGTGGGCCTTAGGTGTATTAATGTATGAAATGATGGCTGGTGCTCCACCATTCGAAGGTGATACAGAACAAGATTTATTTAATGCTATTTCTTATGAAGAAGTTACTTATCCGCCAAATTTGAATCCAGATGCTGTAGATATTTTATCAAAAGTATGGGCTTTCGATAATTCATTTTCGTATTTTTGTTTGTATGTGAAAAAGCATGTGGGCTGATCCAATCTCTTTTATATTCAGTTTATCGTAGTTTTCTGTTATTATTGTAGCACCCTTTGAAATTAGAGGATTTATGTAAGGTTACTAGTATCTGATCATAGGTGTCCTTCAGTTAGTGCTTACCCATTTTATAACAACCGGATGGTTAAGCTTATTCTCGCTTACGGTTGATAAAGATACTAAACCATTTGATGAGTCTGTGAATTTTCATCAACTGAGGTCGTTGGAATATATGCAACACATACACAACTATGTACAATACTGGTGCTTCTAGAAGCAGATTAAAAGTAAGCTGGGGGTGACCAAATGAAGATATAACATCATGTTATGAATTCATTGAGTATTGTTCTCACTCGTTAGCACAGTAACAGATTTGCTTGTTGAATTTCAATTGATAATTGTGAGTGATACTTGGAGACCAGAGGTGACCTAACTCACCGTTAGTTTCATCAAATAGGCATTATTTTCCATTCTGGTTGTTGATTTGTGTCTTAGCTTTATCTTCGTAGGACGGATACCAAAAGAATCTTGTTGGATCATCGTTATCTTACTTCATTGACAACACTGCCTAAACGGTGTCAGTCAGTCAGCTACAACGTAGGACCAGGCACATATGTGCATCGGTGCAGGTTGCCATACCGCATCAGCACAACAAGATGAACACCGGATTCATAGCAGTGGTTAGGTCAAAGGTAGTAATATGTAAGAGAAAGATTGCATATAGAGATATAGTACAAGAAGAAAGAATTGGTTCGTAGAAAGAAAGATATGAAGCGATTTTAATCTCTTAGTTTAAGGGAAGACAGGGAGTGTATACACCGACGCCATTGTGATCGATTCTGAGCCATGTCACCAAGAGTCTCCAACCATTGGTTACGATAGTCACGCGGACCCCAACCAAGTAGTCTGCATCTACCAACATGGCTCAGAGTGGAAGTTAGTGACTTCAAGCACTGATGCCACGTTTTGGTTTGGCCGCCCCTAACTTTCTTCCAACCATTTCCAATACCGGATAGCATTGCACGTCGTGGTAATCGGTGTTCAGGCATACGTAACACGTGGCCTAAACGGTGTAGAAAATGTTTGTTTGGGCAGAGTATAAACGATAACGCAAAATGTGTGTTACCATTGTGAAAACACATTTTTCGGTGTGTAGTCACTTTTTATGCATACCGTTCTAGCCACTCGTAATTAAAGTATTAGGTTTTCATTCTGTAGGTCACAGGTCCGAAACTCACTCCGTCTACTTTGAGTTCAGTAGCCATGCGTTATAACGAGCCCTCACACTAAATGTGTAACTCAAATGAAATACATTAAGTTGGCAAATAACTAGCTTTTGGCTATTCTTGTCACATTTCTATATAATTTTCAATCTAACCATCAAGTGTGTCACCCTATTCTGGTCGTGTTTTGTGACATTGTACACAAGTACGTTTTCTTATAATAATCATTGCAGGCTTATTGCACGTGTGTTCACTTCACCTGTGTATTTCTGTACACTTACTATCTTATGCATTGTACATCACTTTGTTTACTTTTCATCGTTTATTAATTCATTTAACGAGTGAGATTTCGAGTAGGCTGGGATGGCTTCTCTAGTGCTATGCCTATTTCTTATCTTCTGTCTACCTAAATTGAATACATGAAATGTACGATTTCAAAATACTTTATTATCCGACTTGCTTTATTCCGTTAGCACTAACGCCAATTAGTCAAAAAGTATATTATTAAGGGTCTATATTTCATTGGGATCATTGTTCGTCCTCACTTACAGTCAACTGGATGGAAGCTACAAATTACATAAAAATTATGTTTTCGAAAGTTACTTCAGTGGTAATAATATATAAAAAAGATCGTATATAAGGATATGATATAGAGAGAAAGAATTAGTTGGTAGGAAGAAAGCTATAAAGTAATTTCAGTCTCACGGTTTAAGGAAAGATAGAGAGTGTATAACACCCACTCCATTATGATCGATTCTGAACGATGTAACTCAGAGTCTCCAACTATTGGTTAAAATAGTTGTGCGCATCCCAACCAAATAGTCTGCATCTACTAACATGGCTCAGATCACAAGTTAGTGACTTTATGTACTGATGCCACGTTTGGGTTGGGCCACCCCCAACTTTCTTCCATTCAACACCACTCAGCATTGCGCACCGCAGAAGTCAGTACTTAGATTAAGTTTCTGTCATATAATGGCTCAAAATAAAGGCTAGTTTAACAGTTACATCGTAATTTTCTAATTCTTCATTACAAATAAGATAAATCTTAAATGAACAGAATCTACCTTGACATTTTTTTGCCTGCTTGAATTATTTGTCTCTAAATACTTTTCCAATTTAGAATGTTGTCTTCAGATTTTGTTCACATCGCTTTGTCCAGTGTATATGTATCCTATTTCATGAAATTATCAATGAAATACTAAGTCGGAATTGTAATGATTACATTCAATAAAAATCTTTTCACACTAATTAGGAATTATATATTTTGCTCATTCTAAAAATATTATTTAGTTCCTAGTCAAATCACCATCTCGAAGACTTGGATGTGTATCAGCTGATGGTGGAGAGTTAGCTATTCAACGTCATCCATTCTTTAAAGAAATAGATTGGCAAATATTGGAAGAACGTCGTGTACGACCACCATTTCGTCCAAAAGTTCGTTCTAGAATAGATACAAGCAATTTTGATAAGGTATACAAACAAATTGATTATGGTGTTGTTGTTTTTTCTTTATATTGAACTAAGTTTTGAATATCTGTAGAAGTTATTCATATCATACTAAAGTATTAAAATTTCTTCAATGCAGAATAGCCTGAATTATTGGTTTGACATGATTTCCACTTATTAAAATCATAGTTTCATGTTCTGCATTACTCTGTCGTGTTTTTTGCAATAAACATACTTGTAATTTGAATTACTTATTCAGAAACAATGTTCAACTGACCATAAATACCCATCTGCACAAGTTTTCCACGTAATCAATTCAGTACTGGAAAATGTAATTTACAAAGTGTATGTAATAGTCTGAACAAAGTAATCGACATATCACGTCTCGGTGCTTACATCCGATCTTACGGTCAAGTAGCAGATAGGAAATTATATGCACCTACTCACGTTCCTTGTCTTGATCCAGAAGAGAAGTTGTATATATACCAATGTATATTATCAGTTTGACAATTATACCGTACTACTAATTTCAATACTCTCATTTGCATTGTAGATTTCGTGTACCATAAGAAGTGTATATCGTAACTGAATCAGATCATAGAATACAAAAGTATAGCAAATACAATTGAAAGACAAATTACTTGAATCTCATTAGTTCATGTTGGCAGTACGATATTTTAATAACTAGGCTAGAAAAAAAAACATAGTTGATCAGTACTTTTTGTCTTTTGAGTTTGTCTTTTTTCAATCAATGCTCCATTTTACAGTGGAAAACTGACTAAATTTATGTCAAACCGACATCTGATCTCCACAAATTACTACTAATCTTTTTTTATTAAAAAAAAATGGTGTATACGTTTAATTTTCCAAATACCATACATTCTTATCATTTGATTCCTTAATATTTTATGCCTATATTGATGTTGAGTTAAAAACAAAAATACCATTCATTCTATGGTTGGGTTTTTTTTCACCAAGCAGCGTAATGAATTTAAGATATTTACGTAAGAAATAAAGGTGCATTAATATTGCTTATCCATTTAAAATATATCCATATTTATGAGAGCTATAGATGATATTATGACCAAGTGGGTTGGTACAGCTGAAGGTGAGGTGAGTCCTCCCTCTCTCAAAGTGCTGTCATATGTACACGTGTATGTAGCTACTGTCAGAAAATTCCTCGTGGCGGTGTTGTTTACGAGATTGAGAGGACGAAAAGCTAATGTCCGGCGCTTAAACCGGGTTAATGGGTACGGAGCATTGACCTAGGGGAGTAGAGAAACCCTGATTACTAACCAATGGTTCACATGGACTGCAGAATTCTTAGGAAAAAAGCTCGGGAAGTGACCCCGTAAGAAAATCACCTGCTTGTGTTTAGGTACCCGGGCAGTATACCACCACACACACGCAAAACAATCTGCGGCGCATGTATACTTTGGTGACCCTCTGTTTAAATAAACAATAGATAAATATACTCTTATTAAGCTTCCCAAGTGGTATACAAAGACAGTACCTGTTACTGTTAAATTATTCATCTAACAAAAATACCACTATATACTAACATATCTTGAATCAGTCTGAAGTTCCAACAGAAAAATTATTTATATTCTGATTAACTAATAAAATTATCCCCCTTTGTAATAGTAGTAGTAGTAGTGTGAAATGTTGAATAATATTTTGAAATCTCTATTTCTATTTCAGTCCATTTTTGTATTGGTTATCCGAATCTTCCTAGTGATGTTTAGGACTGCAACTGATTAGTCTCTTATTGACATATGTGCATCCTATACGGATTGCCTCGATATTGCCTTAAGTCACAAGCATTATAAATGGAGATGATGGTGGCTAATAGTGGGATCTAAAACGTGTGTTTCGTCCTATTTGGGACTGGTCATCTGGATGTACCTACATCGCCGAGTTGATTTTCGCTCTTGGACTCGAATCCAGTACCGTTTGCTTCAAACGCCATCACGTTGATCACTAAGCTATTGAGTCCAGATAACCACTATCTTGTACAATGGGGTGAAGTTTTAATTCATTTTTTTTATTGGTTGTTTAAATCTTCCTATTGATGTTTAGGAATACAATTGATCAGTTTATTATCAACTCTGGGACTCAGGTACATCCGATTGGAGAGTCTCAAATAAGACGAAGTGCGAGTCCTGGATTCCACTGCTCTCCATCATCATCTCCGCCTGTAATTTGAATCCCGCGTGTGGGACCGTGGGTGCACACTGCTGAGTCCCGTACTAGGACGAAATGGCCGTCTAGTGCTTCGTGGTTTTGAATGGTGATCTAGCGTAGATCGATTTGTGAATTCACCTGTGAAAATACTACAATTTCCACAATTTTCCATATTGATTATAATCCTGTTTCGATTATTTTATATTAAGCTGCGTACATTTATTGTGTAGGCTGTGAAATGCAAAGGTAGTTTTAAATCATATATTGTATTCCTAATATTATTCAGTATATCATATTCAATTGTTCTTACCTAGATTCGGCCTCATCTTTCATTCATAGTCAACTACTGCCACTACTATTAAGTTGATTTCATTTCTTATTTGTTTAGGATTTCACTACTGAAGAACCTGTTTTAACTCCATCGGATAATTCTTCGGAATTGGCCGCTATAGCTCAAGATGTTTTTGCTGATTTTGACTGTTTTAATGTGGACTACAGTGTTATGCGATATCATACAACACGACCCAGTCAACAACAGCCATTACAATCTGTTATTGGAGGTTTATATACATCGAGTCCAACTTATCCAAACAGTGGATCTTTCGCATCATCACCACCACCATCAACTGTATTGAGTAATTCCCCCAAGGCCATGGCGGCTACTACCTGTGAAAGTAGTAGCAGTAGTCATGTTCCGTCCACTCCAGATCCTTGCAATCCTAAAACAAATTCTCCACTTTCATTTCCCGACAGTGGTACATCTTGTCTATCTCATTCATCATGTAACACTTCACGATTGACCATTCCATCTGGACAAATTAGTAATTCTTCTATTCCTCCTACTCATAGTGCACCGACTTCTCCGACCCGTTCTCATTCCAATATCACAGCTTATGGCGATAAAGCAATGACCAAATGGCTTGCTCATTGATTTAAGCTAATTCATCGCATAGTGTATCAGTGTTACCTCGTTAGTGCCGTCGTCCATGACCTTGAAAAATGTTGCCTGTTGATTTCACTGAGAACTCTTATTGGATCCTGGTTCCAAACCCATTATAGTATCTTGAGTGAATATTGTCCATTCCTTCGTGTGTAACAACAGCATATGTCAGTGTTCGTACGTGTATGTGTGTGTGTATGCATAAGCTCCAGTCATTTTTCTCGTGTGAACTACGTATTTCATCGATTTCTTTCTCAAATCGTGGCAATAGTAATAGTGGTAGTATTAATAGTAATCAAATACGCATTTTGTCGTCTTATTATTATTATCGGTAGTACAAAAAGTACATTGTGTAGAGTCGTCTGTGATTGTTTTGATTTTTTTCTGTCTCCATTTTCGTCTCTCTTTTTTTTTCCATTTCTCATATTGGTCAAGAAGAATACTTTATTTTATGTGTTGTTGTTGTTGTTGTTGTTATATAATTCACTGATTTAATTATTTTCTCCATTTTTATGTTTTATTACAATTGTGATTAGTGTATTCTCTTTGTAATTTTATTTTACAATTAATATTCATCAACATATATACACTATATCCTAATGAGTACCACAAATTTAATCGATTCTTTAATAACCCCTATATGATCTGTTTACCAATATATAGAGATGTATACATATATCAATCTGTACATGTATATGTATTCGCATTTACATATAACAATAAATGCTTATTGTTATAAGATAATTCAACAGGAAAATAAATGAATTGACCAAAACCACTTACTTATTTACTTACTTACTTATTGTTTATGAGTAATATTCTCTTTTCTTTTCTGTTTTGTTTTTCTTTTCGTTTTTGCATTTCACTCTGTGTTATATTCCTTTCTCTTTTTTTCAATATGTGTATTTGTTTCAAATAATAAACACTTTCAATGAAGTAATAATGATAATTAGATCAATCCTATTGATGTTACCGATCTGATTATATCCTTCAGTTATATTGTGAATATATGTTCAATTTCTTGTTTTAAAACAATTATTAAATGACAGAGAATATTTTCCCCATTGCTAATTATAAAATAAATGTTTCCTTCCTTTGCTTCGACCAATTATTTGTGTATATGTTTATGTGAATCAGATAAGCATCCCTTGTGAATTCACTAATTATCATCAATGCATTGATAAAAATAATATTACTTAATATTTGCCTTGTTATTATTTCTCGAAAATATGCATATATACTTCGTATTTCTGTACTACTTTTACTACTACTACTACTACTAACGGTAAATAGTAGTAGTAGTATCATAGCTCTCTTATTTCATTACCATTTTGTAAATGTCTTCTTTGGAATGTTGCTTGTTTTATTTTTATTATTTTTTTTGCCAGTTATTTCAGTGTTGTCATGGTTGTTTATTTCCGTTCTATGGAAGAATTGTGTTTTACTCATATTGTTTCCCATCATTTCTTAACTTTTTGTGTATTTCAACTTGTATCTGTCATGATGTATCATTTTGGAATTATCGATATATATTTCAGGAGTAAAATTGCATTTTTATGTTGTTGTTGTTTTTTCTCTCTCAGCTTTATAATCTCTACAATAACCTAGTTCTATTATTGCATTTTCCCCTTGGCTATCTTCAAATGGATTCTATAAAAATTATAGTATGGTATATTATTGATAATGATTCCTTTGTTGATGTGATTTCCATATCATGACTTTGTTTTCTTCTATTTCATCAATTTTTTTTTTGACAAAAATGTGTTCAATCGAACCAAGTATTATCTATGTGTTTGTGTGTGTGGATGACTGGGAATCTCTTGAAGATCATGCTTTCATCTATTTCATTCATTGCTCGTTTTGAATTTATCCAACTAGACGAATTCTGCTTTTCTTCCTAATAATAACTAATTGCATTTTTCGATTTCATAGATTTATATATATATATATATATCACCCAAAGTATTCTATTTCAAGATTTTATCGGTTCATTTTCTATTTGACTTTTCTATGCATGTAGTCTAGTCGTTTTATCAATAGGTAAAACTAATCTGTCAGACTTACCTCCTTCTCACTAAACAACTTGTATGTCAAGTGTTATATCTATGTTGTGTAAAATCCACTTCTTATTACTTATCTTCTCTCTTCTTTCCCTTACAGTCTTAAAATTGGTCATGTTATGCATAAAAATATTTCCTGCTCTTGAACCTTCTTTCATAATAAGATCATTTAATTGTCGTATTGATTATTATTTAGAAAATAAATGTCTTACTTGTTTTCCACTTTCTTTTTTTATAAAGCTGCTTTGTATTTTCCTTTATCGTTAAACCTTCTTCTTATACATCATTATTACACTTGAACTATTTCAATTAGTCAACCAGTTTGTTTGTTAATTTGTCTACTACTTCATCATTTTTTATGCGTATTATGTCTTGTTGATACAGTTGCCTAGCGCTCACATACATACACATGGTTTTATTTTATTGTTTATTAGAATATTTGTTGTTTATTACTATCATCATCATTATCATTGTCTTCATCTCTCCTCTTCCCTCTATCTGTCTCTCTAGCTAAACTCATTATTATTATTATTATTATTACTATTATGATTATCATAACCAACAATTGTGTTTATTAGGCCTGTCCTTTATGTTTATCATTATGCACTTAATAAAATCAGCATATTCACTTCTTATGAATAATGATATTGTAATAATTATTTTTATGTTGCTTTTCCTTCATGGAAATCTTCATTGATTTTTTTTGGCTTTTGCTTGAATTCTCTTTCTCTTCCCCCCCCCCCACTCCTCTCTTTTCTGGTGATGTATTGTATGCATTTTATATTTTTAGAAGAACAAAAAAAATTTTTTTGGCGTTTAATTTATTTGTTAGTTACTGAATTTATTGATTTATTAGTTTCTTATTTCATTTCTCAAATCATCTTGTTTATTTATTTGTTTATCTTGACATTATTTTTGTGTTTCATTTTTGCTGGTCGAAGTTATAGAAGAAGAAAATATATATCTATACAATTATATTGTTGTTATTGGTATTTTTTGTTTGTTTGTTTGTTTGTCAACAGTTTTTCGATTCGATCTCTCATGTAGGATATAAAACTGTAACCTCCTTTTTATCCCACTACCGTAACCTAACCCACCCCCATCGTCACTCCAGCACAACATATATGTAATTTTTTTTAAAAAAAAAGATGTAAACGACAAATACAATGAATGCAAGTCTACACTTGACTTTACATTGACTCGAATAGTTTTTATGTATATCCATATATATATTAAATGTGTACTATCATGTGAGTTGATGGTAAATATCATTAGTCAAACAGAATAAAACTTCTAATATGGTGATAACCTTGTGTATACATTGTTAATTATTAATATTTCATTGTTGAATAATGAAATTATATATATATATATATATATATATTTGCTTATTCATACATGCATAAACTTAACAAACGTTTTGTTTTCGTGTTATGAGTCGTTAATTCAACCCCCCCACACACACACACACTCCATCTTCTATCATTTTCTGTTCAGTTTCCACTTTACTTCTTTTTCACTATTTTAACTCTCGTTTATTTATACATATTAATTTGTGCTTGAGATTGTCTTTACCAGTTATTATTGGCTTGACTCAATTATTTTCATTCGATAACTCCATGTTAAAGTTTCATCTATCTTTGTTCTTCTTACCTTTGAATGATAATTATTTTATTATTATTATCAGTAATAATGATAACTATGACCAGTAATTATATGGAAGTTATTTTGATTTGCTGAGTTTTAGAGTGGGAAAAACAACCGTTGAATTAGATACCGATAAATATAATGATATTAGCATGCAAATTTTGTAGTGTATTTTTAGTGTTAATACACAACTTCGTTTCTTCTTTTTAATCCTTCACTCTCCATCATTGTAAGAGTTAGAATAGTATATTAGTCATATATTTACTGCTAGAACACAAAATTAACAAAACTATAATTTGGAATAGTAGTTATAAAGGTTTGCCTAGGACACAGTGGATGGAGAGTGCTGGTGAGCGGTTTCAGTCAGTCAGCTACAACGTAGGACCAGGCACATATGTGCATCGGTCCAGGTTGCCATACCGCATCAGCACAACAAGATGAACACCGGATTCATAGCAGTGGTTAGGTCAAAGGTAGTAATATATAAGAGAAAGATTGCATATAGAGATATAGTACAAGATGAAAGAATTGGTTCGTAGAAAGAAAGATATGAAGCGATTTTAATCTCTTAGTTTAAGGGAAGACAGAGATTGTATGCACCGACGCCATTGTGATCGATTCTGAGCCATGTCACCAAGAGTCTCCAACCATTGGTTACGATAGTCACGCGGACCCAACCAAGTAGTCTGCATCTACCAACATGGCTCAGAGTAGAAGTTAGTGACTTCAAGCACTGATGCCACGTTTTGGTTTGGCCGCCCCTAACTTTCTTCCAACCATTTCCAATACCGGATAGCATTGCACGTCGTGGTAATCGGTGTTCAGGCATACGTAACACGTGGCCCAATCATCTCAGTCGATGAAGATTCATAACCTCATCAACAGATTTACCATCATTCCCTAATACCCTGCGTCTAACCTCACTATTACTTACCCGGTGATCCCAGCAGACGCCAGCAATATTTCTAAGGCATCTGTGGTCAAATACTAATAGCTTACGAGTGTCTTCTACTCTTAATGACCATGTTTCGCAGCCGTAAATTAAAATAGAACGGACTGCCGCGCAGTATACTCGTCCTTTTATTGATAGACGGATATCTCGCCTTCGCCATAGGTGACGCAAGTTGGCAAAAGCCAATCGAGCTTTTCGAATCCGTGCTGAGATTTCGTCCGATACCAACCCATTAGGGCTGATCAGACTTCCAAGATAAGTGAAGTTGTCAACGCGTTCGACTACTTCACTCCCTATCCTTAGTTCAGGTGTTAACGCAGACCGGTTTATGCCATTCTACATAGGGTAACAGGCGTAAGTATAAGTAAGAAGTTATATAGGTTGCTTAATAAGTTAGACGACGAAAAACCAATTTAATTTGATAGTTTTGAAAATTTCAAAAACTATCAATATTCTCAAACAACTAAGTTAAATATCTACTTCGGAGTTCTTGTTTACTAACAATTCGTTCAGTTCTATTCATCCCTTTCGTGTTTGTCTTTTAGAGATTTTACGAATGTTGAATATTTTGCTTGTATATCTATGTGTATTCTTTAAACTTTCATGAAGGGGGCGTCCATCAAGTATGTCTTTACTTCAAATTAACTTGACAAAGAAGTCTCCCTATGTATAGATAAATGAAATAGATTCTTGCACAGTTGTATGTACGTTCAAATTATAATATCCTATGAGTATAACTAGTGAAATATCAGCAGAATGTAATAATATTCAGTTAAGATCAATGATGCCTGATAACAGCAAACATCTAATATGATAATAAATCAATAAAAAAGAGTATGATCGTATTACCCACATACTTAGTGGAGTTCTGAATCAATGGCTTAAGGGTTAACATTCATCTTTCAATCAATTGGTAGCAGGTTCGAATCCCTCCATGCCTTTCACTTTTGCCGTTGTTTATCTAGTTAACGAAATGGATTAGTTATACTTTATCATTTTTTCACTTAGGTTGGAACAAACAGATCTTATGAGGATTTTTATTTCTGTCCACACTGCTTATAAAAGTAATATACCATCTGTCTGTTCCGAGTCTAACAAATCTCCAGATTGAAGATGAACCCTTGAAATGTACAGAAAGGGATTATTTTCAGTGACAAGGCAAAGCTTTAAAAAAATATACAGAGGATAACAAACGCTACTTTTTTGATTGAGATCATGAATCGATTGATGTTAGACCACCATTGAAAACCTGGAAGCACTGGACAGTGAGAAGCCGTGACCAGTGGAGCTAATCCGTGTCCGGTCGAAACAGGTGTCTACCTCAGTACAATGGAAGATGGTCGCGCAATTTCGTGGATTGGTTGAGGTTAGACATTAACACCATTGGATGCTGGCTCAGTGGTCCAGTAGGTCAAGCGTTTGTGCCCTGGGTCCGAATCCTGCGAGGGGGTCGTGGATGCGCGCTGCCGAGGAGTTCCACAGTAGCACGAAACGGCCGTCCAGTGCTTCCAGGTTTTCAATGGTGTTATAACACCAATTGGTTCATGATCTCAATCAAAAAACTTAGCAATCTCCACAACCCCTAAACTGATAAATACTACTTTTCTTAGCCGCTTCATATGAGAGTTCACTACCAATCGTATTATTTGACTTGGTATTCGAATCTAGTTAGACTCAGTTTACCGTTTGCCTGATCATAAAGTTGACATATATCTCAAGGATTCTTAGTTTCGAATAATATGTTCTTCCTTACTAAGATTTGAATAGTAGTAGTCATACCGATTGTAAGTCAAGAGTGATCTTACGTAAAGACTAGTTCAAACAAATTTTCTCAACAAGATCGTAATTCGTACAACTCTAAATCAAATCACAAAGAAACGTTAATAGATAGTTATGAAACATGCATGACATAGGAAATAATACAATACGAAATCGGAAATCTACTTGGTATTGTTCGCTTGAGTCTTCTCATTGTTGTTTAGGACTGCAATTGATCAGTCTCTTATCGGCACATATGCATATTGCCTTAATTCAAAAGTATTATAAGCAAAGATGGATAGTGGCTAGCATTGTAAGCAATACCAAGTGAATTTATACTTCACCCCATTGAACACGCAGGTGGCTATCAATACTCAGTAGCTAAGCTGATAACGCGATGGCGTTTGAAGTGAACGGTACTGGGTTCTAGTCCCAGAGTGATAATCAACTATGGGATACAAATACATCCAGCTATTGAGTCCCGAATAGGACGGAACGCGTGTTCTGGATTTCACTGCTAGCCACTATCCATCGTTACCTATAAAATCAGTAATCATTTCTCAGGTCACAGAAGAAAATCTCAATAATGTTTGTATATGTTCTAGTTAATGAAAAGACAGAGATTAATAATTTAGGTCAAGCATAACAAACTAACATTATACAATATGAGAATGAGTTGAATTGTAATGAGAATTGAGATGATGGTAATGATGACATGTATTAAGAGAGTTGAATATGATGAGAAGTTGGGTTTTCAATAGAGTAATGAACAATGATGGGATTGTTTTAATGCGAGTAATGAAATGAAACAATGTGTTGCTGTTAATTTTTTCCGCATTCAATAATTTTAGTCTAAATCGACTTGTCCAAGTCTAGGTTATAGATAGTTACTCGCGGTCCTGATAGCTTAGTGGTTGCGTCTTTGACTATATAGCTCGGAGCATCACTGCCCTCAGGATTACAAGCATGCCTTGCTGACGACTGCGCGATATGGAATGTGTTCGGATGACATTCCTAAAACATACTTAAGTCACGGAAGTCAGTGTTTCAAGATAGACTAACAGAACTACTATCAATGACAACAAACACACATTCCTGGACCTCAACATTTCTATCACCATGGCATCACTGGATGTAAGCAGTCCTTTGAAGATATAGATAATCGAATACCAAAAGTCACTAAACAACTTCATTTCAAAAGGATCTGATTTCAAAAATATGGAGCACGATTGATCTCATTAGATGCCCAATTTCACACAGCCAGAATATTGTATCAACTCTCCAAAAGTAACCGAGACTCGAATAAATCGATTTAGACTAAAATCGTTGAATGCCGGGAAAAATTAACAACAACACATTGTTTCATTTCATTACTCGCATTAAAACAATACCATCATTGTTCAATACTCTATTGAAACCTCAATTTCTAATCACATATTCAACTCTCTTAATACATGTCATCATTACCATCATCTCAATTCTCATTACAATTCAACTCATTCTCATATTGTATAATGTTAGTTTGTTATGCTTGACCTAAATTATTAATCTCTGTCTTTTCATTAGCTAGAACATATACAAACATTATTGAGATTTTCTTCTGTGACCTGAGAAATGATTATTATGATTTTGTATTGTTTTAGTTTCTATATCATGTATGCTTATACATATGTGAGTATGGATCATTTTAATTGAATCATTTTGTATAATATATTAAATTCTGGTTAATTCAAAGATGAAATATTATATTGATACTGTTGGGTTGGAGAATGCTGGTCGATGGCTTATGCTCCACTAGGAGTAAGTAAATACTGTTGAAACTATCGTCTTGGTTAGATGAAGGATTGTAATTTAAAACTTTGTTTGTACACGTACATAACACTAGGTGGAGTTTGAT